CCACCCAACATCCCTTCCGATGAGCGGCGCGGCTTGCAGCCCTGCCCTGGCCCAAGGCGGCGGGGGCAAACCAGAGCCGCGGGATTTCGCTTCGAAAATAAGCAGCGCCCGGGTTCAGGACGGCGTGCTTGGAAGCAGCGTTTTTCTTCTGCAGGCAGGGAAGCAGAACGCGGCGGAAATAACTGGGAAGGGCAGGCAGGGACTGAGTGAAACGCTGTCAGGACTTTGGCAGAGGGAATGTGTGGTTTTGTCCTGCATTTTGTCCTCAAAACAAACTCTGGGTGAGGGTCCCTGAAGAAAGAATGTAGTTTGGCTGCTCTCCACAGTAGGACCAGTCTTGAACTAGCATGTTAGCAAGAATTGGGGTCCTCCAGGGTTATAAACACTTCCACCCCGGCCAGAAGCCACCTGTGTTCTTTTCATTCTTTCAGCACCACACCAGCCAAGCAGATTTTAATCTACTATACTGTGGAAACTCAGAGAAAGTGGATTGAGTAAATCATGATTAAATCACCAAAGATGTTGTGTGCAAGTGCAGCCAACTGTGGTGAGCCATCTGTGTTGTGTGACTGAAGTTAACAGTTCAGATTTTGGGCCAGATGTACACTCAAACATTTAGGTGGCTTCACGTAAATTAAAGTCAAGCTTTCTACACATAAAAATAGTGCATAAAATTTAGCATTTGTATAGTTTGTGAACATCATCTTGTACAACACCACTTAAGGGTAGCATGATAGGGTCAATTGTTGAGGATGAGAAACTTTGTGGCAGAACTTGCGGAATTCGTTCCATTATACCTTGCATTATAATATTCCAATATATTAAAACTCAGCATGTGGAGAAATAAAGATTTGTTACTTTTCCATCTCTTGCAAAGTTTTAGCAGTCAAGGGACTCAGGCTCCATTACTGAAACACTTCCAAGTTTCCAGACCACTTCTCCTGCTTGGACAATCTGTTTTATTACTTTTTAAAGAAACTGAGTCATTTTGTTCTCAATTATAGTGTTGCCAATTTAACAATGGGAAGAAGTTGCCAGGCCTTCCTCCTTTGAGTCTTGTACAGTACATGTCTTTATGGACCACTTCCAAGACCTACCCTCTCTACCCAGTTCTTCAGTTACAACCCAACCCCAAGTAAGCAACTACTTCTATTTTTCATGCTTGCATAGAACTAACAGATTCAGTTTCAGAAGAAATGAAATTATATACAGCAAGCATTCTGATTTTTTAATAACATTGCTGAGTTATTTTTGAATGCATCTTGCATAAATGTTGCATAGCTATAGTCCTCCTGTGGCATGAAGTGACACAATACCAGGCTCTCCGTTGGTCAAAGTTCCCTGTCAGCTTCCCAAACTGTCTGCTATTATTTACTTATTGCCTTTGCTACTCAAGACCTTGCTAGGCCAGTGTCTTCATTCAGTGCTGCAGTATTGGCTGCATCAGGCTCTGAATTTTAAGCATCTTCCAGCATTGGCTGGGAGAGCCAATTTGAATATTGTTCCTAAGATAGCCACATTCAATTCCAGATTCCCTATGGAGAAAGTAACAGGCCTCTAAGGTTCCAATTGCTAGAAAAAACTAGATCTAGTTTTTGATTTTGTATCACTATAATAACAATATTTTTCATTACATACACTCTGAAAATTATTTGACCAAAGTGCTTTTGACCTCATGAGCACAATACCTCTCTACCTATTCATGAATGTAAACATGCTTTATCAGGCTTATGCATGAGCCTGAAAAAGATGCCATTCCTTTAAGGATCATATTAAAGATATGCTGCATTAGTTATTTGATTCATTCCAAGAATAGCATTTTTTTTTTTTTTTTTGCACATACAAAATAGCAGAGAGGCATTCTGTACTTGCCCACATGAGGTCTTTTTTCCAAATTGTTTTCAAAGTATGAGGGCCCTAATATGGATGACTCTACAGTAGGAAAAGCCTTACTTTTGGTTGTAATGTGAGCCATTTAGATTATGGTTATAGTTACTATATTCTTGTATTTTTTTCTTTTTTGTGTCTGAGTCAGTCTTGAATCCTGGCAACTACCTGGATTAGTCCCTGCAGTCTTCTTGGCAAGATTTCAGAAGTGGTTTGCCATTGCCTGCTACCTA